GATCTTTGTTTACATTATTGTTTCAGTTTTACGTTGTTGGAGTGTCGAGCGGCTAGCTAGCATAGATCATCTACAATTGTTTTGTTTTTAGAACATTACACTTTTGCACGCCTTCAGGCGTACAGGGCATATAGGGCTAGACCTATATTTGTGTAGACCAATCGGCGCTCGACAGATGATGTTGTCAACATCACACCGGTCGCCTTTACTTTCCAGGACTTTACCTGGTACCCATTTAAGGCTGGGTGGACCTGCAGCACACTATTATTTGTTGAGCAGATAATTTAAATAGTCACTGTCTGCATCTCTAAAATTACCTGTAAATCGATTTCAGAACGTAATAAACCATCTCCGGATTGTGAGAGCTTTTTAAAGAATTAGTAAGCATTGCATTTTTCGTTTAGTAGTTTTTCATTGCTTTTAACAACGGTTCGACCCTCATATCCTTGCCGAAATCAGAACCGAACCGCCTGCTGCCAAATCACCTGCTACTAAATAAAGCTAGGTATGTCGTAATTACGAAATTGAGTTAGTTACATTTAAAACACAGACCACCTTGAGTAGAGGAAATGTAAAATGACACGGTATGTATCTATAGTGCAAAAAATTAAATATATTGCTGTATGCATCTCTAGCGAAGATAATTCACATTAGGAAATAGTATATTTGAGCCTAGCATCATATACCCGATGCCCTTTACTTACTTACTTTCCTAAACAAACTCAGAATATTTAACTCCAGTGCAAAAATGACACTATTGCATTGAGCAGAAACAATGTGAATGACTAAAACAGTTTTTTTTTTTTTTTACCCAGAAGTATTGACCGTGTCGCCTGTTCAGGATTGAAGGAATCCTCCTATAAAAGTTTTTTTAAGAAAAAGCAAACTATCCTTTTTAATGCCTTCCTGCGTATTAGTGAGTCGCAGCGGCTAGACGCTCCCGTGCAGATCGGAAGGTCGTGAGTTCGCTCCCTGGTGGGCCCAGATTTTTTTTTAAATGACCTTGACTCCCAGGTCGACCCAGCCTTGAATGGGTACGAGGTGCAGTCCCGGGAAGTAAAGGCGACAGGTGTGATGCCTACCACATCATCCATTTTGTGCCGATTGGTCTATAACAATCTAGGTCTAACCCTATATGCCCTATACGCCTAAAGGCGTGGAAAAGGGACCTTTATTTTACACACTTCATGCCTATTGGGCATAAAGGGCTAGACCTATACTTTATAGACCAATCGGCACTCCGTGGGTGATGTCAAAATCAAGCATTCCACCTTCACTTCCCCTGACTTTTTCCTGGTACACATTTAAGGCTTGGTCGACCTGGGAGCCAAAGTCATGTCCAGGACCGTCATTATTTGAACCCAGGACGTTCGAATCCGCAAGCAAAAGTCTAGCCGCTACACCTCGGTGGCTCCCGAAACAATGACTGATAACCCGTAAACATTCATTAAGTGACGCTTGCTCAGAATTTAAGCAATCCTCTTTTAATGTTATTATATTATGTTTGCAAAAAAAAAAAAAAAAAAAGTTCGAGATAATATTAGGTGTAAAAAAAGCTTTATACGCCAGTGGCGTTATCGGGCATATGATGTAGGCACATATTTTTTCAGAACAATCGGCACCCGTTGGATGATGCGGGCAGTAGCATACTTGTCGTCTTTCTTCCCAGGACATTGGCTGTTACCCATTTTAGACTAGGTCGTGCTGGGAGCAAACATTTGTGATTTTCTTTACAGATCCACCAAGTACGGATTGGCAATCTAAAACCCCCATGCCGTGATGCGAGTCTCTAGCCACCAGGCTACTGTGGTTCCCATTCTTAAATAGTAACAATCAAAAATGTTTCATAAATATCTAACATGAGTAATGAAAATAATTTGGGGTGGCCATATAAGTATAGATTTGGTATATCTCTATCGGTCATCAATTTTTGTGTCATGTTATGAGAAGAAGGAAACTGAAACATTTGCCACCACTGGAAAGATTTGTGTAATTATACATAAATTAGAGACTTTTCAAAATAAATATCTAAGAAGAAGAAAATGAAAATCTTGACTAAGCAAGATGACCAATGAAGAACTTAGGGGAGGGGTGAGGAGGAGGAGGAGGAGGAGGAGGAGACAAAAGGTTCATCGCTGGCACAGGTTTTCAAGGAATAAAATGGAGATCGTCTGAGAATACATGCAGAATGTTCCGTGACAAGTTGGTATGGACAGCTCTCGGCAGATTGACAAGGGGGATGTTAACGACCTAAGGAAGCATAAGGGCAATGAAGGAGTGCCAAAGAACATGGGTTACCATGGGCAGCAGACCAAGAGCAATGGAGATCACTTGTGAATACTTTAAGTGTCAACAGTGACATAAAGAGAACATGGCATGCAAACATTATTATGCAGTTACATTTGTTTAAGCCGGCAAAGATTTAACAGTGACATGAAAGAATTTACACTTTAACACTCACTGGTGTTGAATCCATACAGGGCTGGATTAACCATGAAGCACCTGCTTCTTCTTGAAGTCCAGACCTTTTGGCGTTGGTAGTCATGTCTATCCACAATCTTCTATCTCGCGTACTTTCGGTCAACTCTGAAACAGATAATTCTTCATTCCATGAAGCCAAACTGTCAAGCATCTGTTCTCTCGGTTTCTTTCTGCCTCTCCTCCCCTCCTGCAGTCACGATGTACTCTAGTTTAGGCGTAGAAAAGGGTCCTTTACTTTTTTTTACTTTTACTGTCTGTATGAGTGTTCCTGGTAACACTGTCGTCCTAACGTATGTGCTCATCCGCTGGACACCTGCTTGAGGGCCGCCTCACCCTAACCTGCGTATTTTAAGTGACCATATGTATTTTACGGTACTCCTGTCAAATCCGGACGAAGAATAAAAAGCCTTGGACGACTTAGTCAGAGTTCTCTCCCTTGGGCGCACTGCGAACAGTGATCGGAAAAGCCACAACGAAACAAAGGACACAAGCAACATGGCAGTTAGACGCACTCACATAACTAACATCGTTATTCCGACGCAATTATTTTCGGCAAGAATGCTATAATTGGCTGTTGAGACATACCGTGGAGCTGGGAGGACTCGATGAGGCCGGCAGATCTATCGTAGTTGAAGTAGACGAGAGCTACTTCTTCCGACGAAAGTATCAGCGCGGTCGCACCACTCACGGTCGTTGGGTCGTAAGGCTAGTAGAGCGTCAGACTGGCTGTTGTTACTTGGAGCTTGTGCGAAAACGAGATGCGGCGACATTGGAGAGGATCATAACAGATCACGTCCTGCCGGGAACGACTATCGTGACTGACGCTTGGCGAGGCTACAGCAACGTGGCAAACTTACGGCATGGCATCTATCTGCACGAGGTAGTAGTCCACCAGAACAACGTAGTCGACGCCGTACACAGTCACATACACACACACAAACAATTGAGGGCCTATGGATGCTGGTGAAACGCACCATTCGCCAACGATTAGGCACCAGCCGCACACTATTGGCGTCATATTTAGCAGAATTCCAGTGGCGCCACGCCCACAAACATCAGATTGTCGGCCACTATTTCCAAACCCTACGTCAAAATTTTAACATCTAACCCTAACCCTAACCCTAACCCTACCCCTAACCCTAACCCTACCCCTAACCCTAACCCTACCCCTAACTCTAACCCTACCCCTAACCCTAACCCTAACCCGACCCCTAACCCTAACCCTAACCCTAACCCTACCCCTAACCCTAACCCTAACCCTACCCCTAAACCTAACCCTACCCCTAACCCTAACCCGACCCCTAACCCTAACCCTAACCCTAACCCTAACCCTAACCCTACCCCTAACCCTAACCCTACCCCTAAACCTAACCCTACCCCTAACCCTAACCCGACCCCTAACCCTAACCCTAACCCTAACCCTACCCCTAACCCTAACCCTACCCCTAACCCTAACCCGACCCCTAACCCTAACCCTAACCCTACCCCTAACCCTAACCCTACCCCTAACCCTAACCCTACCCCTAACTCTAACCCAACAACCGCATGATGATGACTACACAACCATTCACAATGCCTCACGAAACCGTACGCAGCCCTACACGCAACCGCAGGATGATAGGTAAGTGTGTGGTTTATTTCGTTTGTTTTCCGATTACTGTTCGGAGTGCGGCCAAGGGAGAGAACTCTGACTAACTCGTCCACGGCTGTTTATTCTTCGTCCGGATTTGACAGGAGAGCCGTATTTTACTCCTGTAAGTGGTTGTCGTAGGGGCCCCAACACATTGGTTTGTCTAGGGGCCCATTGTGCTGTTATGTCGCCTCTGTGTGGTAGTAAGCAAATTTATATACTTGTATAACCTGTTGCCGCACCTCTGGGCTACGAACTAATCTATGATGAGGCAAACGTTGTGTAGGCTGTCTAGGATTAAAAAAAACATATAGAGGATTAATTTCTAGAGAGGAATTTGCAGTCAGCAAAAAGCATGGCCCACATTCAATGAACAATGAAGGAAGCGTAGCTTTCAATCAGGTGGTTCAGGCGATCAACCGTAGTGTAAAATGTTCATTGTCTGCCAAGGAAGGGGGGCGGAGCACTTGTGGTAGTGCCCCTAGTACAGTAGTGTCATTCATTCATTCATTCATTCATTCATTCATTCATTCATTCATTCATTCATTTATGGACAATAATAAACTATTTAGTGTAACGCAAGGGCTTAGCATTGATAACAATGTACAGTGGTCTAGATCCCTTTTTTAAGGTGACGCCCTTCCCCCCTCACGAGTATACAGAAAGACCCTCACGTCCCTCTTGAGTATATGGAAAGACCCCTGCCCTATTTGTTTCCCTGAGTGTATGACAAGACCCCAACCCCCCCCCCTTTTTCCCCCATACCCCTCCCTCCCCCCCCCCCCCAGCCACCCTAAAATATAAACACAAATATGATTTAAAGAAACGGAGAAAAAAATAACAATTCTGAGCTTGTCAAGAACTTGGAAAAAAACATCCACATAAATCA